AGAGCTGATTTTTTGCATATAGGGCAAATATTTTTCTGCACAAGCCACTGCTTTATGCATTGAATGTGATAGAAGTGTCCACAATTCAGCTTCCCTGTTTCATCATCAGTCTCATATTCCTCCTGAGAAGAAAATCGGGGAAAAAATCTAATAAAAATATGATGAGAATGATGATGTGAATCATGACAAGGGCATCCGTAGTGGTTTGATTAAAATAACACGAACAATCGGAGAAAAAAGAACAGATATATGGAAACAATCAAGAGAATGCTTGAGATGAATTTCTTTAGACCAACCTGACATATACTGCATTTCCTTTCTGTTTCTGTAGGGAAATTTGATGATAAATTATCTAACATTGGAACCTTAGTCCTCCTCAAACAGCAGGATATCTCGTCCTCCCTCAGTCCAGTGCTCACATGCCCAATTCTGTCACCAAGTTCTAGTAATTCCTGTTTGTTGCGCCAAAATAACGACATTTACAACTAAGTTAAAATACTGTGGGGGACCAAACATGTACTGGAATGATGAATGTCTTATAGAACAAAGGCATTCATAAAGTTACTGATATACCTCATATGACATGTCATCAACATCAAGTCTCCAACCCCTGTATTGATCGGGTTGTTCCGATCTTTCCCCCATCAGCAGACTACTCTGGAGCATTACAATCTACAACCAAATGTAATGGAACTGTGGAGAGTCAAGTCAAGTCCAATCCACAGTAATTTGATCTATTCACACCATTATTGTAGTAAAGATCATAATGCTAGATGAATCATCACTGCTAAGGTGTGCTCATAAGAATCTATTCTGTAACTTCGATTTTCAAGGGAATGAAGAAGACGTATATGGTAGAAGAGCACGCTTTTTGGCCACATATGCATAAAGATAACCCCCAGACAGATATTTCTACTAATGAGCAGCATTGCTTCTTGGTTCGTACCTAAGTCTTCTAATTGAAGATGAAAAACATTTCTTCATATTTGCTTCAGAATCTTCCTAATCGACCTCAAAGTTCAATGTAGAAGCAACATGCAAATTCGAATAATCTACACTTCAATCCATACTAGTTTTAAGATAAATCTGGAGAGAGCAGTCACCATTCTCGCCTCAAACTATAGGTTCAAACGGTATTTCAGTACACTACCCAATGAAAAAACTCTACATGAACTTCAAAAGTTACAGAATTTTTAAGAGGTGGGGGTTTACATTTTACACCAAACTGAGTGGCAGTATGTGAAATTCGCAATGAATCCAATGGAGTGGTGGAAAATACTGACTTCAAATCTATTGGAATAGGGTTTAGGAATTTTTTATTTTTTTGTAAACCAACATTCGTTTTACAAGAAAACACACTACAATGATATAAAACCTGCAATTCAAGAGCTTCAACTCAACTAGTCAAATGTAACACTCCTCTGAGAACTTTCTATCTCAATCGCATAACTTTCAGATCCTTTATCTAGAATACAATTTAGGAAGTGGCGATGCGAGGCTAACTCATATTAAGGAAGAAACTTAATCTTTAAGCATACATGGGTTTAGTGCATAAGATTTCATGAAATTCAATTTACTCTATAAAATGAAAAGTGAATCTATAATCGAAATGCTCTTAAATTCAATAAATAGGATAAGGCTCACTATGAACCTAAGATTAAACGAACCTCTGCAAATCCATCATGAAAATCACGTCTGAGATGGCGATGATATCTAGATCTTGAAACGTCAGCCCCAGAGCGTTGCATTCCCAAGGCAATGCCAGGATCGCTGAAGGGGATATCTTCAGAGGTCACCATTCTTCTCATACTATATGAAGAATGCTGAAAATGAACAAATAAATTCAGGTTGTCGTATGCATAAATAGTTTGACAAAAGAATCTCAAAGTGGGGTACAACCTTAATGTTTTGAAGCATGTAAAAGGTGAAGAACACTTGAAAACTCGAAAATTACAGCAAACAGAGTTACAGAAACTCCTAGAAATAATTGAGGAAAGTCTAAAGAAGAAAAAAGGACCATCCTTACATATTTATTTAGACAAATTGTCTTCAACATGATCATATCACATGCAGGCCGAATTCATATTTCATATAAAGCCTTATGTGCACAATTTTTGTAAACGGGTGGTGGCCAGACTTGAACCCGGTCCTTTGCCTGCTTTGCTTAGGTTATTAGATAGGGATCAAATATATTCATTCAACTTATCTTCAACAAAACCATGACATTATTCTCATAAGATGGGCAAGAAAGATAACGGAGCAAGTTATTATAGTAATCTTGCAGAATTTGGTGAAGAATACTCAACATAGAATAAATCGAATTCATTCTAAAGTCTTACTTCAGCCAAAAAAAATAAAATTAAAAACAAATGTACCAATGCACTCTTGATTCCGAAATTACTCTAATAATTGATACTAGATCAAGATAAACAACCTTTTTCTTTCTCAAGTTAAGATAGTAATACACAACATTCTTTGAACTTCATTCAACAAGAAATTGATTATATTCGAAACGATTTGATTATAGAGCAAATTTAAAATTACCTCCCTCTGACTATGAATAATTCTATGAACCCCATCAGTTTTGTTTCTGGCAGAAACTGCAGGCCTTCTTGAAACAACACAATTAGCAGACGCAGCATCCCCGGTGAGTCGATTCCCAGGACCACACCATACATCAGGTAAACCCCCACAATTTGATGATACAGCCAACGGCTGTGATGAATTTGGTGATGGGCTATTGTTATTTTTTATGTTACTTGTAACAATAACAGCAGCAGTAGAATTATCAGTGTGTAATTTGTTGTTAGTATCGTTGATTTTCTTGTTCTTCACCTTCTTCTTTTTCACCTTGTTAGCATTCCAATTGGCCGATGTTCTTATCACTGCAGGAACGGAGACATTTGAGGAGGCAGTGCAGCCCAGTCCTCTGAATGTTGACGTTCTGAAGTTCTTTCTCTTGGCGGTGGCGGCGGTGGAGGAGGAGGGAAGGTGGTTTTGGCTTCTGGGCTTTCTGTATTTAGTGTGTTCTGCCATTGTTGAGGCGTCTGCAACCACCGCAGACATGGTGGTACAGTCTTGAGAGAGAGAGCAAGTTTTATGCGAGATCTTGAGCGATAGAGAGATCATAGAGTCTCTTATGGAGAATGAATTGTGCGTAGAAAACTAGCAAAATTCAAGAATGGGATGCTTTGAAGAAACGCGTGTGAGTGAGTGGCGGTGGGGTGGAGTAGGAATTTGGGTATGTTCTTGACTTGTGATGTGGACGATGGAATTCTTGAATGGCAAAAGTGAGAATTTGAAGAAGGGAATAAATAATTTTTTTTAAATTTATTTACGCCTTTCAAAGTCACATGTTTTTACATAGTACTCGACTATGTTGAATTTAATCAATCGTTCTATTTATATATTAATATATAATAGATTTTTAGAGAGTCGTGTACGTAAAATCATGCCGCCACTATAAGTTAGTAATCAAACACAATATGCAATAAGTACATAGAAAAACGAAGTTATCTGCGAGAGTACGAGAAAATTGATCGAGAAGCATGTCATCAAATAAATCTTCTCTTTTTTGTAATTAAAACCATCAAAGACTTATGGGTAAAATCCACCAATGGCCATCCAACTTTATACTTAGTGACATTATGATCACTCATTTGATTTTATTTCATCATGACCATTCAATTTTATATTTAGTATCACCATGACCACCCAATTTGATTTTATTTCACCATGATCATCCAATTTCATATAAAGTTTTATCATAGCCATCAAATTTCATACATTTCACCATGATCATCCAATTTCATATAAAGTTTCATATATATATATATCTGTGTGTGTGTGTGTGTGTGAGCGCGCGAATTATCGTTTTATCAATTTCAAAATTAGTAAAAATGGTGAAAAAAAATTGGGTGGTCATTGTGAAAATGTTATATGAAATTATGTGATCATAGTGAAATGTTATATAAAATTGAATGGTCATGGTAAAACGAAATTAAATGGATGGTCATGATGATACTAAGTATAAAGTTATATAGTCATTGGTGAATTTAACCCAAAACTTATAGATGGAGCTCTTGCATTTGGAAAAATAACTAGAAGTTAATAATATTATATATTTATAATTTTATTTTTCTCTTATTTATCGAGTTTATATTTTTGAATTTCACATTTATACTGTGGAAAAGTGTCCTTAATTGGAGGAATAACAATGCACCTTATTCTTTAGGAAGAGTTATAATTGGGATCCCTAACTAATTGGAAAATGTTGTATTTAACCTATTATTTTAGCAGTTACAGTCCCCAAACTTTTATATAAACAATTTTAATCTTATCTTTGATTAAAATTCAATATCTCATTAGAAAGAGGATTTTATCCTTATATTTCTTTAAAAGGAAATAAAAATAAATAAAATTTTAATTTTTAACACAAGGTTAAAATTGTCAACAAGAGTTTACATATTCAAAAATAAAAGGCTAGGGATTGAGTCTGAAAAAATATTAGAGTTTGGGACCTACTTCCTACTATTTCACTAAAATAGAGACTCCATCTATAAATTTTCCTATTATTTATTATTATCATTTTGGATTGGTTAGGTGGGCTCTTTTTTGTCTTCTTGCATCCCATATGGGTGACTAATTGAAACATTGATCTCAAACTCTTCTAAGTTTTGCATAACTTTTGCTTTAAATTTTTTTTTATGGCCTTTTAATTAACTAAATAAGTAGTCTAACAAATATTGTTAACTATAGAACCCTCTCCCCCCTCCCTTCTCATATTTGATAAATTGCATGGAATGTAATCGTATTGTACTCTTTTATACTGCAAATCGATCTAATATTGGGCCCTGTGATTTTGATAAAAAATGATGAAATGTATAGTTGAAGAGTTGATAAAAGTTGTCATTTCAATAAATGTGTGATTAAAATTAATTTGTAATCTCTTTCTTCAATACTATATGGAAAATCAGGACGTAATTTTTATATTGAGGATGAACAACTATTTATATATTTCTAATTTTGTTATTAATCTCAAGGTTAGAGATCACAATTTAGTCCATAACAAGTCTTTCCATTTGAAATCAACTTATTTTAATCTTATTTTTCTACTTCACCTAATGTTTCAATTATTATAAAGTCAGGAAGAAAAAGGACATAAAAATTATGTTTTCCCAACTAGAGAATATAGACAAGATTACTTGAGGTATGAAGTTGGAAATTTCTACAACAAATTGGATTAAAAGATTTTGGAGACGCAAATCCCAATAAATATATCTTCTCTTATTCTCGACATGCTATGGTGCATCAAGATCGTCTCGCAAAGATTTTTTACTCGAACCTTTGCATCCACTTTTCCACCTTGATACCATTCAACAATTATTTGAAGCTATTCTTATGAATTAAAATAATCAAAATATAAGCAAAACACACGCAGATTTATCGTGATTCACTTGCTGCATATGCAAATTGGTCCTCGCAACTCTTAGGTAAAAATTGGCCTCGTAATATATCTTTCATATAACATGATTGTTAAGTCAATTTACGGTCGAGGAGATAAGTGTACAGTTGAATTTTGGAGCGGGTCCCGAACTTATTACAAGTTGGCAATAAGTAGGATTTTTCTAGCAAATAGGTTAAAAATAGTTATCATCATGTGATGAAGTCTATAAGATTTGAGTATATATTATCAAAGTGAGTGGGGTCCATGAGCCTATACTTTCCTTCAACACTCTAATTGACAGTATAATATTTGTCTGCGTTAGATTTATCAAATACTTTTCATTTCTTTTGCTACAAGTTTCTTTTAAAGGTAACTTGCACTTGTGGAAGTTCAGTCTATTCGTCTCCATAGTCACATTCATTACTATTTTTAAATTCACGAACTAATCACTGTCAAAATGCTAAATTTGCATACTGCATCATCAAAATGCGTTTTACATGTAAAAGTCGCATTTGCCAAATGCAGTTTTTGAAAAATGAAACACAAGTCGTCATTCACGTAGGTCGTGCCATTGAAATTATGAAAAATGATATTATTTTTATTTTTAGTGGGAGGGAGCGATGAAGGTACTAATAGTCGAACTCGTGACCTCTATGAAAATATTAATCTCTAACCAATCAGGAGATGAAAAATTTGTAACAAATTAGATGTTATTCCTAAAGTCGCCGATTAAGTTAAAACAAAATGAGATGAGTGACCGAATGGCTGAAAGTCGAGTGAAAACGACTTTAGTTTTATTTAATTTAAGAGGGAAAAAAGTTGTTAATGAGGCCCCTAAGGGGAAAAAACAAAACTATTTACTTGATTCATAGTTTTCAATGTAATAACTAATAACCATCACTTTACAGCATTTCATTCAAATTATGATATCAAATTATGAGTGTTTTACATGTTCAATGACTCAAAATCTCCAAATCAAATGAAAAGTAGTCAATGGCATTTGACTTTTTCTTCTCTTATCTCATCATTGATTCATTCCAAGTTGGTTATTTGTCAGTAATAATTTAGATTACAATATTATTTCTATTCTCAAGTCCATGTACTTTACAAAATCTCATTTCTAAAGAGGTGCATTTGTTAATTGCTTTTCTGAACTCAACATTGGAATTGTGTGTACAAAAAATCCTTGCAGTCGGTAGGTATTTGATGTAGCGAAATTGGAATTGACGTTGTGGGCAAAACGTGTTTTGTTTTTTGGCCTCCTTCAAGAGCAAAGTAGGGATGTAAAGTCAACAATTGTGGGTATAGGTACAGTAGACGATGGCTTGCACAAGAAGAATCGGATATTCAGAGACAATAAGGTAGAAAAATGGTAGAAATGAGATAAACAAAAAGTTTCACAAATAAACAGTAAACAGTAGATTGAAAAAAAGGGGTAGAAATGGGATAAACAAAAAGCTTTAGAAAAGAAATGAATAGTAATCAACAGGTTCTAGTAGGGATAAAAGAATTTCTAAGGGAGCCTATATTTTGAACAAGATAAAGACAGCAACAAGTGAGGAAAATCTTGTAATCTTCTTCTTCACGAGGGAAAACTGTACATGAGCAAGTATATACCTATAGAGCTCTCAAATAGAATGTGAACCACTATAATACAAACACAACTTGTGAAGCCAATGTAAAAAGCAGATAAAATAATTCATATATTGCTTAAATTTTTACACAAATTTCATCTAGTAGTGATAAATAAATCCAACAACGGAATTAAAATTGTCTGAAATCATCTTGACAGTGTTTTATTTGTTTTTTTTCTCTTTCACCGGTCCTCGCGGAATTTTTCCAAGAACTTCAACCTCAAACTTCTGGTAACGTCCTTTCATCCGTCTGTTGATTTTACTTGCAAGATCATCAACTTCGTCCTCGTATTTCTCGTACAGAAACGGAAGGATTTCCAAGCAGAGAAGTCCTTGATGTACATATGCAAGAAGAGGAAACTAAATTAGGCCAACACTTACGCGAGATTCAACACAAGCAATGATAGATAGATAGATAGATACAATTATAGCACAAAAGGGGGAAGAAAAATTCAGCAGAGAAAAGTTGTAGGTAAGTAAATAAGTATATAAATACTTTTGTATTTGTCAAAGTTGAAAATAGGTAGTTACTTATTGTATTTTGGGAAGTGTTTATGGTTAGTACTAATGAATCTTATGAAATGTGTGAATGGTTTGCTGGATTATAAATAATTTATAAACATTAGCCAAACATGAGCTAATTTTAACGATAAGGCTATTTTCATATGAACTCTTTACTCGAACGTAATGAAAAAGTAACAAATCCAACTATTTTTCAAAATAAGTAACTTCATAAATTTGGCCACAAAAGTCATTTTTTTTACTAGTCCACCCCAAAAGTCCTCCATGTGTAGCGAACTTTAAATTTTAGCCCACCCTAAAATCTAATCCTAGTTTTTGCCGATCTTTACTTACCGAAAAACAGAAGATTTAAGGTGGTGACAGAGCTTCCAATAACTGAGATTATCCAAAGAGAAATAATTGTCTGTAAAAAAAAGTGAAAACATGATTATAACTAGGATAAGTTTAGGAGAATCTATGAAACTCTTAAGGAAGTTGACTTTGTTTTGGAGGAAAATATTACTTAATTTGCATACCAGAAAGAATAGTTTTGGATCATTTCCACTTGCAACATAGAGAAGCTGTGATAAGAAGTAGTTAAATTTTTTGTGAAAGGTTGAAGCAACATCTCTGATTGCAGACTCTTGTAAGATGGTTTTGGGAATGCTGGTGCTGGGTGGTTTCCTGAAATAAACCAACAAATCGTCTGAAGCCGTAATTTAAATAAATAAGTTTATCTTTACTCGAATAACTTGACGATAAGATGGTTCAATGTGATATTAAAGAAGATAGAGGTCTAAGTTCAAATTTCATTGTCATCCATTTACAAAAGTTGTGCATATGAAAGTTGAATTTAGATTACATGTGTGTTGAAGATATGAGCATATTTGACGAAGGTGCTTTTGAAATAACTTTTTATTTTTAATCATCTCCAGATAATTTACTTTTTTCTTACTTTTAAGTTGAAGTAAGTTACTTTTTTTAAATGTAACTCTTACCTTGTTATCAATGTGTAAAAAGAAGCAATTTATTTTGAATCTCGATCGATAAACTACTTATTTAATAGTGGTCATTAAGCTTACAATTGAACTTTAAGCTTTGCAAAACATGCTAATAATCTTATAAAAATACGTTTGCGTCTATAACTGCTAAAACTTATAGATGAGTTTATTCCGCTTAAATCTTTAACATGAAGATTTGGAGATCGTTAAAAAAAGTTATATTTCAAGAAACTTCAATAGTAAATGAGAAATATACCATGTTAACCAGACATCGGATTGCTGCATTAAAAGATTAGACTGTACAATACTGGACAACATTAAAGAAAAAGAAAACTAATAATTTTGAATGTTGTCTTTTGCAGTGTTATCTAGTGAAGATGCCCAAATTTTTACTAAACCGATGGTTGTGTAATAATTTAAAATTTAGGACAATAAAAACTGTTGAATACAAAGTATTTTATTGGGATTTACTAGATTGTCCAATTTAGTACAACCTTAATGATTTTCCTATTTTTCATTATTGGATTGCCTTACCATTTGAAATATTCTGCCCCTGCTGACCAAATGAAGATAACCAGCATTGTAGTGATGAAAATGTGACAAAATAGAGTCACAAAGTTGTATTCCACAACCTCAAAAAGAAACCATATTGCTGCACTTCCAAATAGAATTGCAGCAGAAACTCTTGTGTCTCTCCATAACAGCACATCAGCAACTGCAAATTCAATTCATAATCAATTATGACAAATAAAAATAAGCAAGAAAAAATATAATTCCTTCATAACTTTTAGATCATGTTTGGTACATAGTATTAGAGTACGTCTGGATACTTGTCTCCGTGTGTTTACAAAGGTCAAAAAACACTATTGGTCAAACAACGAACCATGGGGTAGTACCTTTTCCTCCTCCTAGAACTGCATGTATCGGCCTTTGTCGACCAAGTAGCCTTGTCCTTGGCGTTGAACCACGGTCAGAATAACTCGAGGAACCATCCATTGGTGAATTTATGAGTTAACGATACATGACGAATAGAATTTTGTGAAGAATAGATTTATATAAGCTAGCATGTTCTGAACTTAGTAGCCAAGAAAGTTGCAAAAGGCATGAAGAAAGGTATGACTTGAGCATGTTTTCCAAGTAAACTATATATGCTCGCTTTTGCAGGATCAGTTTATTCTTGTGGACCTTCGTTTATGGCATTTCTTTTGCATTTCATTCAATAATATCACCATGATCTCCATATTTACATGGGTACTTTTAGAACGTGTTTGATACGTTATAAATATTAATGTACAAGATTTTAATATTTTTTTTCTTCCTTAATGTATTGTCCTGTCGATAATCGACTTTTTGTTTTGATATAGAAATTACAAGGAAAGGATACACTAGCTAGGGACATGGAAGAGGACGGAGTAGAACGCATGGGGCACTAATAGTTTGGGATACCTCACTTGCAAAAAGAAAATTTAATAAGCCTCGGTTTGGGTTCTATTTTGATTTTAATGTATTTTTTTCTTTCTTCTCTTCAACCGTACATTTTTCAATAAAATAATATTACACATAAATTCAAAATTTTTTCTTATTTTTTAACCATGGAGCCAAAAAAAGGGCTAAATATTTTATTTTATAAAATTAAAGGTTAATGTTGAAATTTCTAGACCAAAAAAATTGACAATAAACTCTAACTATTTGATGCGATATTTTATATTTGTTCTACTTGACACAATGGATAAGATTAATATTTGGTACCTTCGAAAATGAATTAATGAATCATGTAAGATTGAGTATGACATTACACAAGAAAGTGCTCGCACAACGTTGCAAGGTGACAGAATAGTTCACATTTCTCGCTCAAATATCAAAAAACACTCAAGCATTTCATTATATAACGTGCAATCCTTCCTATATTCAGATTCCAAACTTCATCAATTTTCACTCTATAGGTTATTTTCCTTACTTATAAGTGAAAAAGATTCTTATTTTTTATTTTATTTTAACAATCAGATAAAATTACTTCCAAATATTTATTTATTTTAAGATTTGTTTATTACTTATAAGTAAATGGTTTAAACTCAATAAAGTTGGTAGCTTTTTGTACAAAAGTACCAACCTGGGCCATCTGATTCGGCAAGACGGCAACCTTTGGAGGCCAAATAAAGAGACGAAAACCGTGTATGATTAGACTAATTGCTCAAAATATTTAGATAATAGTGTAATTACTAATTACTAACAACTACAAATATTATATGGATGAAGAAAATTACAAAAGAGTGACTTTTCCAATTAATCCAAATGTGGTAAATCAAGAAATCAATTTTCGTGTTTATTGCGCTTTTCATTAAATTAATCGATGAATTCTTACCGTCATGGTAATAGTTAAAATGGCGAACTACATTCGATTCTCTTCTTGCATGTGCATATCGTGTACTTTAAGGCTCTAGTAGTGCAATGTTGATATGCAAGCACTTAGCACGCTTTTTTCTCGTGTCGACTTTTAATCTATTTAGTTAAGATTGAAATCGAACTGTCTGTGACATAAGATCTTGTTACAAAGATTTCAACCTTGCAAGTTGATTAGTGAAAAAACAAAGGCCTCCTCCTTTATCTTGTTCTATTATTATAATTAATGAGGGCAAATTACACTTCAAAAAAGACGACGAAGACATAACATAAAACTTGAGAGTAATCAAATTCAAGCTACAAAACAGAACCCTAAAATTGTTGCTTCATCACCAACTAGTATATAGAAAAGATTCACAAATGGCAGTTTATTCCTTTCTCCATTTGCAAAGTCAATCAAAATCACCCAAGAAATCGATTGGAATTCGGGTTTTAATGGATTCATCTGGATTATCTTCTCTGTAATCATCTTGCCACTCTACTATCCTCTGTATTCCAGTTAATCGAATTTAAAACCACCAGAAATTCCCATCAAATTTCAAGAAACCTATTTTACGCCTGCATGGCGGCGGAGGCACCAGCTGCACCACCGTCCGCGATTTTCAGATTTAATAGTTTGATGGAGACATTCACAGTCCCCACGTTAATCCCAAGACGTTGGTCTCTAACTCTAAAAGTAAACGCTTAACCTTGAGTGAGAAAGGCCTCCTCCTTATTAACTTGAACCAACCTCTGATTGCACCCTTCACAATCGCATCATCAAGGCTTCAAAAAGTGGGGAATATGGCCTATTTCCTTAGTGCTAATGATGTCTGTATCCGCTGATAAACAAACTGGACTTGATCACTCTCTTTGGTAATTGCAATTAGTGCACTTTTTCTTTCACAAAATTAATGAACGAAGTTTTCCCAGTTAATCTGAATCGAACAAAAAAAATACTAATCTGATTGTACCCACGTCTATAATGTTGTTATATACTTGAACACACGTGTATGATTCCTAACATTGTAGCAGCGATCACGTTGGTACCTGAGGAGTCTAAAGTCTTTATTTCAAATCTCACCAAAACTTTTTTATTTGGATTTCGCATATCGCAACTATGATTAAATAGTGATTCCGAGGCGCACTTGAGGGCTGTATTAAATGTAATAGTAATAAATTAATTTGTTTCCTCTCTAGTCTCAATCAAATCCCAAGCAGAGTAACTTTATTAAGGTTAACTTTATGCAGCAGAAATAATGGATACTTCTCTTATACAGAAGATCTTCAACATGAAGTGCAAATTTAGTACACAATAATGGACGTGACTAGACATTAATGAACAAGCTTCTTTTTCTTTCTAATACTGCCAGTAATATCCAATCCTCACAAGTCACAAACATAAGTTAATGATCATTACAGGCAAATATTTGCCTCCATATGGAGTAACTGTACTGTCTTCTCCTGAAAGCTACAAACTGATAACAGATCATTCAAAGTAAAACTTTCTTATTTGAGAAATTGATAAGTTAATGATCCATATTCTTCCGACCAGCTTGCACAATCAGTCACGTCATAATAATGAAACAACCAAGGGAGACTCTGAAATCAGGAGCCTTCGAAATTCATATACGTACAAGGAACGTGAAATCGTAACAAGTTACTTACAAAAAGAATTGTAATTTCTCACAAGTGAAGCATATCCGATATCTGGTTCCATCCCACAAACCATGGCCTCTTATCAGATGGAAGCACAAAGTTAAGTTCGAACATTTCTTTCGACATATTTCCACCTTGACTTAATCCCACAAGCTTTGCGACTATGTCAGCACTCTCTTGTATATGCTTTTCATCATGAGGATTGGTCCAGAGTTTATTTATGAACTGCATTCTCCTTTGTTTTCCTTCCAATGGAACTTCCCATTTTAAATATAGTTCATCTCTTTCCTCCACTGACAAACGCGTAGTCAACCTCTTTGCAAGAAACTCTCTTTCCCTCTTTAATGCTCTAAGACTGATTAACATATCAAACTACTCGTTAAAACAGATTGTTCAACATTTAAGATCAAGAACGAAAAATAATTAAAAAAAAAAGCATTTTTGTTTAGGGGAGAATAAAGGACCTTGAAGATAATGAGATTGTGGGCTCATTTCCCATACGAGCTGGACTTTCATTTCCGACCTCCTCTAGGTGCTGCTGCAGCCATGCTAAGCGCCTAAGCTCGACTTCCATGTATATCTGGTCAGAAGGGTCCCCCTTGAATAGCAGATAAAACTGCGTTCTGTGAATGATGGAGACATGGCAAACATCCCATAACTCAATGATTTGCTGCCTTTGCTCCCTGAAAGTTACATGCCATGAAGCTGGGGACTCTTGTATCTCAACCATGTTCTCATCATTCTCCAAATTGTATCCGGCAGCTTCATTTGCTTCAAGCTCAAGCACCTGGGAATAACAATTAAAAGATTCCATATACGGTAAACCATATAGGATGCAAATTGCTTTTCCATGAACAAATTAAATCATCTTTGATAAAGTTTGAGGAGATCTCCTAGCTTACCTGACAAACCAGAAGCTGTTTCTGGTATTGCAATTTGGCAACACGTTCTTTAAGTTCAGTGACGTATGTTTTTATGCTTCTAACATTCTCTTCTGCTGCATTTTGAAACATCTTCTGCATTTTCCTCATGTTGACTGAACTTGAACGCCGATATGGAGTATTTTCCTTTGATGAGACATCTCCACCTTCACTCTTTGTAGGAGTCTCTTTCTCAGAGACTGGGAGAGTTTCACTAGATACAGCATTGTCAAATTCTGGAGCTCTATTTTCAATCTCAGAATCCATTACTTGCCGAGAAACTGATATAGGTGAACATGGAGATTTCAAGAAATTTTGCTTGTTGAGGCTATTACTTGAAGCTAATGGAAGCAACTTCTTCTTTTTTGATGGATTCTTGGTCTTAGGCGTTGCATCGGCATTAGATTGTTGATCGTTGTTTACTGGAAGAGACATTACTAATTTATCTATTGACCTCTGAACATTTTCTAGCTTCTCTTCAAGATCAGCAATGGTACTTCCCTGAGAGTGAAGCCTGGTTATCTCATCCTTCAGGTTTGCACTAACACTCTTGTTAACAGAGACAACATTTTCAGCTTCAACTTCTTTTGGGACGGGCCGAACAGCCCTCATTTCCCCTATCTCTGCTTGCAGCTTAGCAAAAGTCACTTCTGCATCTTGGTTACCTTGTCTATGATGGGCTACCTCCTTCTGAAGTACCTCGAGTGCTCGATGGGCTTCTTCACCTAGCTGTTCCTGAAGATGTTCAAGTTTCCGAATTTCATGCATTAGTGTGAAAGGTGCGGTTGATGATTGCCTCAATGTCTGCCTTCCCACTGTATTTCTTGTTCTGTCACAGAAACCTAGCTCTCTGCCTTCAAGTTTTGGTAATAAAGTCGTAGAAAAAGAGAGCTTCTTTGCAACCGGACGAAGTGACTCTGATTTTAACCCCTGAATAAGGCAAGAATTAACAGATTAGTTTTTATTACTAAGAAAAATATGCTGTTTATTCTAAACTCGGATTGATTTTTTTTTTTTTATGAACTCCATTTGAGAGAGAAAGAAGGGAGGGGGGGTGGAGACCTGATCCTCCTGAAGTTTTTGTCTTAATTCATCTGCCTGAGATTGTGCGAGATCCCTTTGACGCCTCAGTTCCTCAATTTCCACCTCCATCTAATTAAACCAATCGAAGTCGGATAAGTAACTTAATGAAAATCAATCCATTAAACAAACAATAATTACGTTACAACTCCCCCGCTGGCTAACCTGCCGAATTTTGGAATCTTTCTCATTAGATGGATCTGGTGTGCGTAGTTCTGCTTCAAGCCTTGCTACTTCTTTCTGCAAATGCTTGACAAGCTGTTTGTCTGAAATTACCTGATGGAAACATTGAGACAATGAAGTCCTAACTATGTTAATAAAAGTTGGAAATATCATTCCACCTATGGGCAACACCTCAGTACACGAACATATAACACTTCAAATTACCATATTCACTTGAGCATTATTGGTCACTTCCTTTGCTCGGCTAGCGAAGTATAGGGTGTTACGAGATTGTTCAACATGACTTGATGCGGGACTCAATGTGCATATGATGGCAGTCCGTGCATTTCCTCCCAGTGAATGTTGCAATATGCGTGTGAGCTTCGAGTCTCGGTAGGGTATATGACCACTTCGTTTTCCCACACTGAGAGCAAACAATCATAAAAATAAGCAATTACCTAGTGCAACTACAGATGTACATGATATTTCATATATAATAATTTCTAAATGTATTAAGGAAAAAATATCTGTGTCTTGAGAACCCATTCACATCCTTACAATGTTCCTATGACTGATAAACATGATTAATCTCTGATCACTCATCACAGTTCATAATTGACTTCCTTTTAGAAATCTTACTGAAAGATAAGCATTTCAGTCTGTTCAGCGAACACAACTCATTGATATTCACTCTTCAACTTTACCAATTTATTAGAAAAGATGAGCTATTATATTAAGTCCAGTCACTCTGTGAGAAAGAAGAACAAAAAAACTTTATTCTTTCCTTGGTCGTGTAGCTATTTTCTGAAGTGTTCATAACCTGTACCTCTCTCTCGTGTTCCTCAACATCAAGAAAATGTAGATGAAAAACAAGCGACTAGAAGAACGTGGAACATGAAAGTGGATGTTTAGCTAAGCTTTAGAAAAGGTCAAAGATACCTTTTTGTTTCCTAAACTCTGTCCTAGTGTCAAAATAAATAACTTTTTATTTTCCAATTTTAACCAATCAAACAAATATTTATTTTTAAAAATCTTATTTATATATAAGTAAACTTTTTAAGCTTAGCCAAACATACACTCGTGGTCTAAGTGAATGCAAATACTGACCTGAGCTTCCTAATTACTGTTGTAAGAGTCATCAAACTAAGATTGATGTGGCAGCCTTCCCTAAGCCTTGCACCATCTGCATTTGTCTGTGAAGCCCTTTCACTCCCAGCTAAATCTACGAAGTTCTGCAAAACATAAACATGACAAGTTTAACAATAAGGAAATTGCTCATATTGCTAAAGTCAGAAATAAAGAACACATGAGTTTTTTGTTTTTACCAAGCTTGCAACGTAAGATCTCACAGTGTCCGAGTTATCGCGAAGTGTACTTTCTATTGTCTGCATTGATAGCAAAACAATTCTAACTAGTGAATAAATAAAGTCTTCTAAGTATGTCTTCATGTGAATCCATCAAAATATGTTTCAAGAATACAAACCAGTCTTATTATTTGGTGTGATCGAGAGCTAGTGTCATTAAGAGCAGTCTCACCTACTTGTCTTTGACCTATATATACAGAGTACCAAATAAGTTAGCTACCGTCAAATCCCTATATTGATTCATGCCAAAGACTTTACTTACTATCACAAATATTTATTAAGCTTCGTAAGTGTTGATCATCATTTGCTGCCTCTTCCACCAATTTTTCGACCACGGTTCCTTTCTGCAGTCAAAGGAGTTAAAATTGAACTTGGTAACGTTAAGAAGGCAAATTCTACTGAACTCTAAGATATACGGCTACTTTTAGCTAAAAATTTGACACCTCTGGATCATCTAACAGCTTGAGATTGCGGCCACACTCTGAATTCAGTAAGTCCCGAACATTCTCATTGTATATTTCCAGGCCAGATATTTTTATTCTGAAATCTCGTTCAGGAGTCTGCAATATGGTCGAATTTACATGAAAATAGATCAACATCAGAATATTATCCAACAAAAAATTAAGTTAGAACAATAATTCTCCATTTCAACTATAATTAAACTCAGTTTCTATTTTGTACTTTCTTGTCCAATTCAGTAATGAAAATAAAAAGGATATAAATATAAGGAGAATGTGCATTTAGATTCAAAGAAAAGGATACTCACATTAAGGACATGGTTAAAACTGTCTTCTATCTAATGATATATTTTGCTAAAATCTTGTTATTATCTCTAGAAAACTACAAATTATCTTGCTTTGAAAGGGTATTTGTGGGAGTGAAATTACATATCTTTATATTCTCCTAATGACTCAAATCCTCTATTTTTTTTTTCTCCAGTTGTAAATTTAAGGAAGTGGGATAAAAATTGACCTTCACGTGAAAAGAGTAAATCAGATTCTAAAAGCTTACATTCATTATGTGTGTGTATATATCATTAACAGCTTTCTCTGTAATTCCTCTCATAGTGTAAGTTTTTCCACTGCTAGTTTGGCCGTATGCAAATATGGTTGCTGCAAACAAAAAATTTCAAAAAATCAGCATAAACTGTTTCAGAACTAATACGAAACTTGATAACCAGTTTCAATCATTATCAGGAATTTAGGATAACAATTACCATTGATTCCCATGAGAGCAGATAAAGCTACATTCTTTACTCCATCCTCGTATACTGTTTCGGTTATACAGTCAGGACCAAAGACTTTATCTGAAAAGAGTGTATACATTTCAAACTAAGTTTCTCTAGCATCTAAACCGTATGACATAAAGATTGTTGATAAGCATCCATTTGTTACCAAATGTGAATGAGCCCGGTTGAGCTACACGTTCGCGTAGGGAAGGTTTATATACAATTGTGTGATCATCAATGCATTCCCACGCAACATGGTCTTTGGCAGATTGTTCCCTTTTGTTCAATGGTCTTAATCGTACAGTCACCATGATTTTCTCTTCCCTCGGTCTGTTCCCACCTGGAGTGACCATTGGTGTCTTGTCTATTTTTGATCCAGGCGTGCCAGGTGTTTTAACCGTCATCTTGTCTGGACAAAATTAACAATTCCTTGCTTAATAAAATGCTTTGATGGAACAACACCGACAGTCCGAATTCTCTCAATGAAGCTAGAATACTTTAACTAATATTAGATGATATCGATTGTGGCTACCCTTGATCCACTGATAAATCTGTATACGCAAATTAGAAGTCATGATATCATAATCTCAAGATAAAACAGGATCAGATTCATAATAATTACACAGTACAAAGTAAACAGAAAAATAAATTAAACAGTTCTGTCTGGGCAAAAAGTAAACAAAGACTGTAATTTTAAACGCAATCTTTCAAATTTCTTCCAATATTATTCCAAATTCACTATAAATTATTCCGATTCAGGATCATTTTCCCCAATATTAACAGTGGATTATTAAACTCCCAGATCTGCTTCACTAAAATCGTCAAATATCTTCACAGACGAAAAACCTAAAATCTATAATCCCTGCAAAATTTACACTCAATCAACGCGGAATAGAACATCCATATCCAGATTGAAAAATAACATTTAGAGTATTTAACAAACTGTATATCGAATTTTACTTGCAAATTATACATCTTTACAGATTAATTGAAAATCGATGACCAGGCCAAGGTACAACCCCTTTAAGCACGAGTTAACAAACATCGATATCGTACATCGTGCATCAGCTGTAGCACCTTACTCTTATCATAAAAAGGAAACTTTGAACAAGTAGGACTAGATTTAGACACCCACCTGAACAAAAAGAACCACAAAACTTGACAAAAATAATTTTACGATAATTCAAGCAATTTACCTGAAAATTGAGAGTGGAGCGAAGTTTCAATCAGATCTAAACAAATCCAAACCAGAGAGAGAAAATGAAGGAGAATGGAAATGGAAAGAGGAAAGTGCACGCTGTTGTTTGTCTATTTGACGTTTCGGATTTTTAAATTTTGAGTGCAACGGCTAGTTTAGTTTTCTCGTGGACTCTTAATATCTCGTTTTACTTATCGTCAATATATCTCCGGGTTTAGCAGTGCCGGTCCGAGATTTAAATTTCGTCACGAGACTGACGACTGAATTAATAAATTTGTGGGGGCAGTGAGTTTGCCCTACTTACTTGAGACAATTGTGTTGGTCAGTGTATGTTGGGAAGCTCAACTCGATTGTATAAAATTAAATATATGAGGTCCCTAACTTTTAATTCTTGACCGTGTCATCTCTATAGTTTTGGTTTTGTAGCAGTCGAGGTCCTTGAAGACAAAATCCTTTCTATTTTAAAACTATCATGTGAATTCACACTTGCCTTGTATTTTAGGGAAAATTGCATCAACGATATCAAATATTTCACTTTTATGCAGACTTGATCCAAACATTTAATTTGTAGCATTGATACCAAACCTTTCAAAAACTCGCATTTGGAGTCCAAATTAACAAAAACCGTTAATTACTTTATTAATTGATCAAAAATCAGAAGTTTGACCAAATGTTAATTAATTCTTAAATGGTAAAATGGTAACTTTATATTTTTCGTATAAAAAAACTAAAATAAAGAATAAAATCAAATACCTAAAAAAGAAAAGAAAAAACTATTCATCCGCCCCACCCCACGCCACCCCACCACCCCCAGAAACAAAAACACCAAAATCGTTGACGACCCAACCTCGTGAGTTTGCACAATTTGTTGGCACCACCTTCCACTTTCCATCGTCTCTTTATAGGTAGATTGCTTTCAAAAAATAGAAATCACACAAAAAAATAAAATATTCGTGACTGAAATTAAATTTCACCAAAAAATCGCTTAAAGGGTGAAATTTGTGGCTGCAACTAAAATATTTCCCCTTTTAAATTCCCTCGGCAAAATTGCACCAAAAAATTCCCCAATTTCAACTCATAAATCATAATGTGGTTGGATTTATAGGTGGATTGCTTTTAGAAAATGAAATTTTTCGATAATTGAATAAGATTGTTGTGGGAAAAGGGGAATCGAAATTGGTAATGGAGTTGGAAGAGGAAGAAGAAAAGTTGGAAAATGAAGGGTTCATTGTACTCACTTACAACAAAGTGACGATGAAAAGTGCAAGGTGATGCCGGCAATTTGGTTTCATTACTATTTTGGGCTCCGTAACAATTATCTCTCATCGGTTGGGGTCGTCGATGATTTTGGTGGTGAGGCCGACTATTATGGTGGTGCTAATGCTTGGTGGGGTGGGGTGGGGTGGGGTGGATGAATAGTGTTTTTTAAAAATAATTTTATTTTATTATTTTAGTTTAGTTTTTTATATGAAAAATGTAAATTGACCCCTTTGCCCTTTAAAAATTAGTCAATATTTGATCAGATTTTTTATTTTTGGTCAACTAACAAAATAACTAATAGTTTCTGTTAATTTGGACACCATGTGTGAGTTTTTTGAAATGTTTGATATCATAAGTACCACAAATCAAAGGTTTGGATCAAATCTACATAAAAGTGAAAAGTTTGGTACCGTGACTGTAATTTTCCCTGTATTTTAGGTGTAAAGGATACAACTGAGTCCCTGATTATCTCTCTTTTTTTCAAAATTATTTTTTTCTCATACTTTCAGTTCATTTTTGGTGTCCATTGTTTTAAAACTCTTTTTGCTATATGATCATTTGCAATCATATATTCAAACACTTTAAATTGAACATTGTATGAACATCTAAAAGGGGAATTTGAACATTTTCCTCTTCATTTCTAGGTTTAAACTTTAAATTGTCATGGTGAAGTCTCAAAACGAGCATACTAGAGGCCAACATGTCCAAAAATAAAGTGCTTATGTAAGATACAAGACTATAAGAGCCTCCCGCGTCCGTGGAAGATACAAGTAAAACATAACCACAAGAATGATATAGTGCCCACTAAATGTCACTAGATTAGTGTCTCGAATAGATAAAGTCACATACTCTTTAAGGAAGCGAAAGTGACCTCTCACAAAGCACATTCTATGAAGTGCTCCAAAGAGGACGAGACTTCCTAGACTTAGAATAAAGGATAAATCTTCAAAGAACCAAAACAACAATAATAATAATAGCTCCACTTTAATCTGAGTCAAAATTCCTCTATGACCCCATGTGACTGCTATGTATACCTCTATGTACAAAAACATGGTGGGATCCACCCTATGTGAATGTTATGTACCCCCTTTATGCACAAAAATTATGTACTCCTAGCAAAACTCAAAAAAAATAAGTGAAGTTGTGTCTACCAAGGTTTTAACTTTGTTCGGTTAGGGCCAAAAGATAGACAATGCAATAGCCCCTAACAAGGTCATCAAACTCATGTAGAAGTGATCTCACTCGAGAGACTGTTAGATGTGTCTTAGTAATGGCCTCGTCCACTAGGTCATAAAAAATGAACAAAGAGTTTGCCCATCGACAAGTTGTCGTACTTCCTCAAGATGGTGACCTCGTAATTGATGTCTATGAAGGTGCCCAACTTTTTGCCAAGCTAGAAACTTGAGGTCATCAAAGGTGTCTAAGAATTGGCCTCGTGAACAGGTTTATCACACATTTCATAAAGATGGCAATATCATGAGGGAGGCAGTGGTGTGTGTGACCTCACTCGAGATAAAAATAAATCTAATTAATATATGTATATGTGGACGAGTTATGGAAGATAAAAACAAGAAATTGATGAATATAATTAAGATAATCATCAATTCTCTTTCCAAAAAAATAATAATCATAAATTCGTATTTTTATACATGTTCTTGTTCCTTGTGTGAGTTTCGATTTTCTTATCGTAAATTGACCAAATATTTGATTAACACTATAGCTCTTTGTCGGTGAATTTCGTAAACAATTTCAAGATCAAGAGGGGCAAATATTGCTTTTAGGACAATATGTTTTCATGTGTTCAAGCATCCATTTTTTCTATTTTCTACATCTTCGGTTTGAGTTCTTTGGTTCGTGTTTTGGTTTCATTCTTCAATTTGGCGATCGAAGTTTCTGCCTCCCAACTCTTTTGAGAATTTTCAACACAAACTAAACTCGACGGGAAACATGAAACACGATGAGCATGAATTCTTCCTTGTATAAGAGAAAATTATAACTATAAAGAGGTGTGCTTCGCAAATTATTCTAGATTCTCATTTATCATTTTACATCTTTTGTTGAGCATCGAAGGAGGAACAAGGGATTTCCACAACCCTTTCGTTTAAAGAGCAATCCGAGACTAGTTCGATCAAGAAAATTGAGGACATTTTTCTTATTCTAATCATAAGTATTTGAAAATCGAAATTACTTTCGATTAAATATTTTTTATTTAAAAATGTCTAAATATGTTTTGAGACAAATTCTATATTGATAAATGGGGATATCAACAGTTTGGAGGTGGGACGGCCGGACGGCCGATCAGACATCCCTCCCTGTCCCCGTCAATTTTCAAGTAGAAGGGGACATGCATTAAAATAATCAAATTTCCCACTCCCTTTATGCATTTATTTATTTAATATTAACTTCTTTTAATACGTTTTAAATACAATTTAAATTAAAAATACTCCATCCGTTTCCCGTGTAAATACCGGGGAATCGCGATAAAACATTTTAACATCCCGCTATCCTACAATGGAAATATCAAATATAGCTGGTGTTTGGCCTCCATTAATTTTATTTTTTTAAAAAAAAATTCTCTTTTTTAATTTTAACCATGCGTTTTTCAAAATATATATATATTACACATAAATTTAAAAATTTTCAACCACGCATTATTCCATCAATCACTGTTTCAAAATTTATAATTTCCCCAAATCGAGGTTCCATGTCTAAAATTCCAAACATTAGCCTAGTGCGAATAGTAACAAAATAAAATTGACAAATTTCAAGAATCGCTCACTTGCATTATTGTATAGGAAGAGCGATGACTATGAGTATCCCATATGTAAAATAAAGAAACCTGCACCGTTCCGTTGAAGCATCCTCCAAGTTTTAAATTCTCTGATATTCGAGTCACAAGTCTTGAAGTCAAAAAGTTCGCCTTTCGCCATTCTTTCTTCCTCTGATCCAGATATATATATTTATATTTGTCCACCCTTTTTCCTCATTCTCCAATTCGTATGCACACATGCAAAATTCATTCATACGAACATTTCTGGCCGGTCCAGCAGTTCTTGTCCGATTTGATTGAATTTTTCATGAGAAGCACAGACCCAAATCAACTGCATTTAAAGGTGGAATTTTTTTCCGTTTTGCATATTATTTTGCTTAATTTCACATTATTTTGAGGCTCTTCTGGATTTTTGTTTCTGAAATAAGAAATGGGTATTTTTTGTGTGATCTTCTTTTGCTTTGATCTAATTTAAGATTCTCTCTTGATATAGACAATGCATACCCTTCACTTATCCCTAATTTAATCTTTATTTTGCATCAAAATTCTTAGCTACGTGAATTTAATAACTTACAATGCTTTCTCCACCCCCGCCCCCCCGGCGACAAATCATATATCAGCTGGGATTCTATATTTCCAAGACTGTGTAGATGTATGGATTTATACTTTTATGTATGGATTTAGGCGTGCACAAACTTTTTTTTTTCAAGTTGTTTAATGTTTGAAATTTCAATTTAATTGGGTTTTTGGTGTATATGGATGTAAAATAATGCAGGGAGTAAATGTGAATGGGGCATTGGTGTTTTCATATGCTCTAGTGAGGATAGGCAGGCACTAGAGATGTCAGAAAGTGAATCAACAGACTCCACCCAAATCGAGGGTGACCAATCAGTTCGCCAAGTTTGTGCAAATGGGGTTTGCATGAAGACAAATGTAGTTGAAGAAAAGCTAGATAAAGGAAATATTCAAGAGGCCGAATCTGCATTACGTGATGGTTTATCGCTGAATTTCGAGGTTGGATTTGTCAAAACATACGAGTTTAATTATGTTGGTGAATCTATAATAGTACATGACAGTTTTGATTTACGAATTATATTTTTTCTTATGAAGAAGAATTTTTATTATGTTTCTTGCATGGGTTGAGCAAAAGTATTAACATCTTTAAAAGAATGCTTTACAGAATATTATTCTGTTGGTTGTCAATACGGAGAAGTAACAAAGCTTGTGAGGACAGCGGTCATTTGAGAGACTCATAGCTTTTAGAGATTTAAATTTATAATTGCAGAGATGCCACATGTTCTAAATCAGGCAAAGAAGTTTATTTTTGGAAAGCATATTCATCTAAGAGAAACTACATCCAAAATTTGCTACTCATTGGGTGCCACCTTCTTTGAACCATAATATATAGATGATTATACATATTTACAAGAAGGTGAAGGAAAGTTCTAATAGCCATAATTGCAATGATTCTCTGAAACCTTCCGGAAATTGCTTTTCTTCTTCTGTTCAATGAGTTTTACGGCCTTGTTCCACTTTTATTGTTTCCTAACCTGGTTTTATGTTAATGTTACCCCTTAGTGGGAAGAGATATCAATTGTATATTGTAGGAGATGAGACCAAGTTTTATGAAGGGGCTGGCTTAACTTTATATTACTCTTTGTGGGTACTTCCTGTAACAGGACATCAATATATTTGTTTTCTCTGAAGATTGAATTGCTAAAGGATGAGGTTTTGCTCATGTTAATAAACACATTTCCAAGCATATTAACATTTCTGTTGATTCTTTCAAGCTTAATGAATGACTAATGGATACTCGTACCCTTTTTTTTTTTTTTTTCCGTGAAAGTATAAAAGAGTTTATCTCCCATTTTTTGTTTTATTGTATTAAAATTGATGCTCCACACCCAATTGAATGTAATCTCGGATTTGTTATGTTCCAAAACATTTCCTTCAACAACTTGCCTTAAAGTTTTCTTTCTTTCCAAAATTTCTGATCGAAGAATATGAGTATATTTGATGGGACTTTGGATAAAACAATTGCAAATTACAGATATACTCCATCCACTCCGTTTATTTTAAACTCTATCTTCATTTTTATATCCTCTATTCCTGCTTTCTCTCAGGAAATATCCATTTCTCCTCATCCTCATCATTTGAATGAAGGATTGATAAAAACTAGGGTCATCCTCGTTCTTCATGAAACATTGATCAAAGCAATTTGGAGGGAAACTTGTACATCAGATAACTCAAATGGCAGATATATGTCAAATACATTTAGCACGAAGCTTGATAGTGGCTTGATTTCATTTATGGTGGTAGTTTGATGAATGTGGTTGTGGCAGACATGGGTCTAAATTTGGTTGTTCGTGAATGTATCCATCAAATTACGGCAGCTGAGGTCATACACTGAGATATATCCACAGGAAGATGCGACCTTAAGACTTGTTATTATTGATATAAATCCTCTTTATGGATTCATCACACGTATTAACTTCTACAAATGAGTACTTTAGTTGACGTTTCTCACGTTGTAACAATAACTCGCAAGTCTCTTTAGTATCTTGACTGATATGAGATCTAAACTATCTTTATTGTTTTGTTTCTGAATATATTGATTTTCGATTAGATGGTTGAATTACTAAAACTGAAGATTTTTGATTTCCATTGTTATTTTTTATTCTCTCGTTGTCTCTAAATTTGACATAAATTTCAATATCGTTTCGCTAATGGTTCAAGGGTATACACCAATTTGACAGTTCATTAATTTATTTTCAGGAAGCACGAGCTCTTCTTGGAAGGTTAGAGTATCAACGGGGAAATGTTGAAGGTGCTTTACGGGTGTTTGAAGGTATTGATCTTCAAGCCGCTATACAAAGGATGCAACCTTCTATTTCAGAGAAACAGCCTTCTAAGAAGGGCCGTTCACGAAGTGAATCTACACACGCTGTCTTACAGCATTCTGCCAGTCTTGTGCTTGAGGCCATATATTTGAAAGTCAAATCTCTTCAAAAGCTGGGGAAATTGGCAGGTAATTCTTTTTATATAAACAATTTATGAGTTCTGAGAAAAGTTGACCGCACTTTCTCGTTCCCACCCCTCCATTGTTTGTCGAGCTGCCACAGCAATATTTGTTTACTGCTTCTTTATTTGATTGTTTACAAAATTCTCTTTTTTTGGGTTGTTGTAGAGGCTGCTCAAGAGTGTAAAGGCGTGCTTGATGCAGTGGAAAAGATATTTTATCATGGCATACCTGACGTGTTGGTAGCGAATAAGCTGCAAGAAACTGTAAGCCATGCGGTCGAGCTCCTTCCAGAGCTGTGGAAGCAAGCTGGTTGCTATCCTGAAGCAATGTCTTCATATCGAAGAGCCCTCCTAAGTCAATGGAATCTCGATAATGATTGCTGCGTGAGGATTCAAAAAGCATTTGCTATTTTCTTGTTGTATGGTGGAGTAGAGGTTGGCCCACCGAGTTTAGCTGTACAAATTGATGGATCGTATGTTCCTAAAAACAATCTGGAAGAGGCAATTTTACTTTTGATGATTCTCATGAGAAAATTTTACCTTGGGAAGACCAAATGGGATCCATCGGTTCTCGAACATCTTACTTTTGCTCTATCCCTAAGCAGCCAAACTTCTGTTTTAGCCAAGCAACTTGAAGAAGTCATGCCTGGGGTAATACATCGTGTTGATCGTTGGAATGCATTGGCCCTTTGCTTTATTGGAGCCGGACAAAATAAATCTGCCTCATATCTACTCAGGAAGTCTCTACACCAACATGAAGAGCCAGATGATATTATGTCACTATTGCTGGCTGCGAAAATTTGCAGCGAGGATGTGTTTCTTGCTGCTGAGGGAGTGAAATATGCACAGAGGGCAATTGCTAATGCACAGGGAGTAAATGAACATTTAAAAGGTGTTGGTCTCCGTATGTTGGGCCTGTGCTTGGGAAAGCAAGCAAAAAATTCTTCTTCAGACTTTGAGAGATCCCGTCTTCAGTCGGAAGCTCTGAAATCATTAGACAGTGCAATAGCCCTGGAGCGTGAAAATTCCGATGTAATTTTCGAGTTAGGAGTTCAATATGCTGAGCAACGGAATTTGAATGCAGCTTTGCACTATGCCAAACAGTATATCCATGCAACAGGAGGATCTGTGTTAAGAGGTTGGAGATTGCTTGCTTTAGTTTTATCTGCTCAACAACGATTCATGGAGGCTGAAGTGGTTACGGATGCTGCTTTAGACGAAACAACAAAGTGGGAACAAGGACCACTGCTCAGGATGAAAGCAAAGCTGAAGATTTCCCAGTCTCTTCACATGGATGCTATTGAGACTTACCGATCCCTCCTTGCATTAGTCCAAGCCCAAAGAAAGTCTTATGGGCCACTTTTAAGAGTGCCTCAGGTCAAATTCTGGATTATCTACAGTCTACACTTAGCCCATTTAATAGGAATATAGGATGATGGAAGTTCTGTTCATTACTATAATTATTGCCTTTTCTTATTTTTCCACATATTGTGTTCTAGAGCTTGTCTGGCTAAGCTTAAGAATAAAGTGAAATTTACTTTAAATTTATTTTTGTATCCAAACATATTTGGATAACTTAATTTATTTTTAGAAGTGAAAAAATTACTTATTTTAAAAGTACCTCTTATCTTTAATATCAAAATAAGTAAATTATTTCCGCCTTTCACAAATAAAACAATTTTTAATTGTAAAGGTTGCATATTTACTTATAAGTAGCTAAGCCAAATTTGATCCTCATACTATTGTGAGCCTATTAAAAGTCGTAGGATCATAGCAATAATGGTTGGAATCTCATTATTCTTGAACTGCTCGGGCTATGTTTGAGCCCCATTTTTTAGGAGAATAGATTTTGTAATAGTGTTTTGTTTAGAGAATGTGTAGTTAAAAGGTAGGAAAAAATTTTTGAGTTCCATGCAAAATTAATTTATTGGGAGAATGTGTGGATGAAAATGAGTTTTTACTTTTTAGAGAATGGGGCTCAAACAAGGGCTCGATAGAGTAGACAGGACAACCACTCATACACTGATGTTATTCTTGTCATTTAAATTTATTATTTGTAATTAACATTTCTTTGTATCATCCCTTTTCCGTTACAGTTGGAAGATGACAAAATAAATGAGTATGAAGTTTGGCATGGGATGGCGAACTTGTACTCTAGCCTAAGTCATTGGAAAGATGCAGAGATATGTTTGGGAAAAGCTAGAGGTCTTATCAACTATTCTGCAGAAACACTGCACACTGAAGGCAAGGACTCAAATGCATTCATTATATCTTTTTCAAACCAATTTTCTTTTTAAGAAGGTGTTAATTTCTGAGTACTTCTAAAATTTTACTCAGTCTGCAAAACAGTCTACAGTTTGGCTCATTGCTTTCTTATGATGAGCATGTTTGGCTAAGGATTTTTTTTTTAAGTAAAGTTACTCTTAACTTACTTTTTGGAAAGTAAGCTATTACCATACTATCAAAATATGTTGAGTAAAAATAGTTACTTATTTTGAAAGTAACTATTATGATACTATCAAAATAAGTAACTTACTTTCAATATTGACTGGTAAATAAAATTTACTTTAAAACTTCTTACTTAATAGAATACTTTTTAAGCTTTGGTAAATATGCTCATATTGGAAAACTCACACAAACACATGCACGGAGGTGTACGAATTCTATCACAATCGATGTTATCCTGACACGTAGGTTACTGTGATATAAGTCATATAACTATGTCCGACGTGATAAGATTGTCAACACTATATATGGGTCCAACCCTTGAAGACTGATTGTTACTTTCCGTCACTTTATGTCTTGGACACTAACATACAACCACAATTTAGTAACAAGGTAACAGAACATGTCTTCACTTATGTTCGTTTTTCAATTGTAGTAAAGACTTTGACTGCGTTCTCGAGTCCTGACAATTTGACAACTTGGTTGTCTGACACTAGATCCATACCCATGCAAGACACCTGTACCGTGAAACAAACGATGTAGATTGAAAGTCTAATTCCATTTGAAGAATACCTAATTATATACTTGCATAGCAACAATATCACAAACTTTTTGGCTAACATTACTTTTTTTTTCTTTCCTATGCACCATTGCATTTGCATGTCGTATGTTTTGGCTCTCCTGTCCCCTAAATATGTCATCTAAATTCTAAATTTATAAGATGTTCTACACATTATAATAGAGCAATGATTAAATTATTTTACACGAAGGTGATTTGAGAGATTCATGGGCTTTCCTGATGATTAATTACATTTGGGATAAAATGATGGGTGAAGGCATTTTCTGATGGTCATTCTTTGGTGGAGAAAGGGTGGTGTTTAAAGGTTAAATACTAAGAGAATGTATGGCTAAGCGTTAGGAAAAAGTAAAATTACATTTTTGAAAAGTAAGTTTTTGAGCTAAAAGTAACTGTTACTTTTTTTGCGAACATGGTTGGCCAAAAAAATTACTTGTTAAGCGTGTACATATGTTTCGCTAAGCTTAAAAGTTACTTCTACATTTTTTTTTTTTTAATGCTTAGACAAAGATGCTTTATACCATGTGAAAGTTTGTAGGTAGGAAATATTGAAAGTATTATGATTCTTGCACTTGACAGATTCCAAAATTATAATGCCTTCGAGTTTTCCACGAGAAAAGTAAAATGGTAAATAAAAGGGAATAACAGTGGTATTTGAAGAGGCAGATTCTTATCTTTTCGTGTTATCCTGTGTCAGGCGTTATGCATGAAAGACGTGGACAACATAATGAAGCTTTAGCTGCTTATATAAATGCCCTTTTGTTGGAACCGAACTATGTACCTTGCAAGATCTTAATTGGTGCGCTGTTGATTAAGATGGGCTCCAAGATGTTGCCAGTTGCCCGAACTCTACTCTCAGACGCTTTAAGAATTGAACCGACCAATAGTATGGCTTGGTATAATTTGGGATTGGTTCATAAGGATGATGGCCGAATAGCCGATGCTGTCGACTGTTTCCAGGCTGCTTCCATGCTTGATGAGTCAGATCCTATTGAATGTTTCAGTTCCATTATTTGAGCCTTTTCCTCAGTCGAAATTTTATATATTTATTCTTTAATTCTTTCATAAGTTCAACTTTTGTGAACGCTCTTGGAATAGCTGGCGTTCTATATAACGTTCGTTAGGAAGGTTTTAAGTGTGTTTTGCAGTTATTGTTGTATTTCATGACTTCAGAAAAAGGAAATAAACTTGGTCCATTTCTTGGCAAAGGTCTAAATCCAATTTGCCTTGGTTGGATTGTGTTGATGAAACTCTGCATTACTTTGTATCAATTAGATTCATAGATATGTTTTTACAATTTTTTATATATCTCCAGGAATTATTCTCATAATGGTAGATTTTGTGAGGTTTAATTGTTTATAGTTGTATGCAATTTCTATTTATTCTCATATATTGTACAATACGATGATGGTGTTTCATAGTTGTGGATTATGTCATTATTAGAGGATGCTTGATTTTTGTAGTAGAATGTTGGTTTTCTCGTGATACCGTGATGATTTTCATCCATTTGAACATTGGAACAAATGTGTTTTGATTTGTACTTTTTCCTTGTAAGCATCAATGTAGAAGTGTCAAGACGTGTGAGATAGAGCGCAAAACCCCGGCCCAGGACAAGGTGTGTGTGTCGTAGGTTTGGCCATCTCTATAGGCGTGTGTCGTGCCTAGATAGTTTTAAGTGTATAGGAATTGTAGGGTCATCTCAAAATTGGGTTGTGCAAGCTCTGTTGGCTCAATTAACACCTCTATTTCACTGTACAGTTATTTGAGAGCCGTGTGATAGCCTGGTAGGTATAGCAAACAACGGGAATGGCTATGTGCTCAGCTACCTATTTCTCTTAAACCGCTTCAACGGAGAAAAGCTTTAATGGGACAGTCTTATATGTACACGTAGTAGAACCGTCTATTTAGATAACGATACCTCAGACCTCGAGCCATTGCAAAGAAAAACAAATGGGTGTGCAACACTGAGGTGTCGCATTTTGAGTAGCTTGATATCCAAAATGTCACATTTTGAGTAGCTTGAGAAAGTGTCGTGATTTGAATGAATGATGCTACCATGTTAGCTCCCGAAACTTCTCTCCACTTCAAGGGCGGTTGCAATATAGAGTAATAATATTATATGAAGTCGTATGTACGAAAAATCAATTTTTCTAATTTAATAATTAGCATCTTTGACACGTATTGAATGGAATAGCACAGTAGAGTTTAATATTGTCCAATAATGTATAGTGCATGTTATTAATGAGCGAATTGAGATTGTGTACAAGTAGGGACGGATCCAGGACCGAATTACAGACCGAACTACTAAAAAAAATTAGTTTGGGAGGGGAGGGGGGGCACAAGTTAATTACATTTATAGATTGAATTCTATTTATTTAAAGTACATAGACTAATATAACAGATAGAATCTATACTCTAAACTGAATTCGAAAGACCTCTTTTGTATGTTTGAAGGAAGAGACATGTATAGAATGTGTCTATTGTCCTATTTAAATTTTTCCCGTCCATCATTCCAAACACGCCCAAAATGGCCATCCGAGCAAATGACTTCATCACGGTATGCGAACATTGACTAGAAAATGGAGGACAAACATGTAGTGAAAAATTGAAAAAATTATTTCAATATTTCGTATTGTGTGTATATATGAAATTGTTTGTGGGTAAATTTCATTAGGGGTCACGAACATTAAACAATACTTCAATTGGGTTGCTAACTTTAATTTGTCTGAAAAGTGTCACTGAACTTCAATTTACTTTTTAATTCATGACTCTGCCACGTTACGTCACCTATTCGTCCCCAAAACAAAGGACTTAAGACCTCTCTTTCGGAGATGCCACCTGAATTGATGATGAGTTATTGATATGAGGGGAATAATACATCGTGTGAGGATATCATGACAACAACCCAAAAATGATAAAAGGGTGGAATTTGGAAAAAATGAATTACGAGGAACCTCCACTCTCACGAGAGGGGAAAGGAATCATCCTCCTCCAGATTACGGTTATCAACCTCGGGGGAATGGTTAATGATGTCATACACCCCTCTCGCAGCAAGTTCTTCGCAGGTCCTAAGAGAAATTAGGGTCCGTTTGATTGTAATAGTAAAATTTGGGTGGAAAGAAAATGAATTATATGGAATTGAATTGCCTAAAATTGTCAATTAACTGTGTTTGATTGGTATAATTTTTCACTTGAAAAATGTTGAAATTTTGGATCTTTTGGTGTTCGTTTATCTTTGTTTTCCATGAAATTGTCCATTAAAGGGAAAAAAAAATTTACAATTGTCCGTAGAATTTGTTTTCATGCCAAAATTTTTTTTTTAAAAAAAACATGAAAATCATTCTCCCACCAAATTGGTGGGAAAACCAATTCGTTGAATTCATGGAAAAGGGGTCACGTGAAAATATTTTCCATGAAAAATTCTGACTATCAAACATAGCAAAAGTGGGGAATGGATTTTCAATTCCATTTTCCATGGAAAAAAAGGGTCTATCAAACATGTTAGAAAAATGAAAGAAGTGAAGTGATCTGAAAATTGAAGGATTCGTTTGAAAGATGAAATTGAAAGGCTCATATCACTCGATTTATTGAAGCAATTTGTCGAGGGTGGAAACAATAAAGCTCAAAAGACAACTTCGGGGGATGAGAATAAACTGTGAGCGGTCAAGATCGATGTAATAACAAGGGGCTTGGCAGAAGGAGGAAAATTAAGTTTGGCTTAAAAGGGATATATACTTCAGCGTTGTGGAGCCCTAAAACAAACAGAATCTATATTAAGAATGTCTTTATTTGAGAAAAAAGGTATTTAAACATAGCGTGTAATCTGCAACTTCATAAAGGAAGCACAATTTTTAGTCAGTGTTATGTAGGTTCCATTTGATGGGAAAATAAATTGAAGAAGGAAACCTAATGAAGAGATTAAGGGTGTGTTTGTTGTGGTTTTTCTTCAGATTTTCATTCAAAATATAGCTCTTTGTTTCAAACAGTGACCCCCACACCTCTCACCCATAGTCAATTGTTGCGGCTGTAGATATTGGCAACGGTTGAAATTTCAATAAAAATTTGGCTAAGAATTGGCTCCAGACACAGCCTAAACAAATTCGCTTTAATAGCAAAAACTTTCAGTTGAATGGACACTGCATGATTTTCTCATTTGTAGTCCTTTATATTCTTATAATTGCATTATAACAACTAAAAAGTGAAGGACCACATGTGCAATTATTTCTTACATTTGTTATTTGCATTAAACTCTCAATTAATTTCACATTAAACACTAACTTTAACTTCGTTTAGGCACGTCCCTAAACTTTACAAAATGATGCACCATGCACAAAACACACATCTAAGCAAAGCACTTATAGTTAAATCGCTGGCCGTGCATGTTGTCTTCCAAATGACTTCAATTGTGAAAAGACATCAATATTTTGCCCCCCTCTTCCTTTTTTTTTTTTTCCCTCAAAGTCTAATTGACGCTACTAATATAAGCCTGAAAGATTTAAACTTTCATACTGATAGATAGTACACGTGCAATGCACTAGTTTATGAAAAAAATTCTATAGGCCACTAATGTTAGCGTATCTTGTTAGGGAAGGCAACTGGATGGGTCGAGGTCGGGGTAACCTTTTCCCGCCCCTATTCCCGTTTAAGGACAATTCCATAATACAATAAATATACCCCTAAAAATAAAAAGTAACCTAAACAAATTGCCTCTCATCAATTATTATTCGGATAGGGACCCCATAAGAGGCTTGGAGTACGATCTCACTAATCTAAAAGTATGAGAAGAGGATAAGAAAAATATGGCCGCAGTAATCAAAGATAGTGAAACAAAAAGGAACTTGTCACAGCAAAGAGCTATCGACTTCGACAGCGAGAACTTCAATGGCAAGAGAAGCTATAGACGGCGGCAAGGAATTGTCGAACTGAGTTACTGAGAAAGATGCACGACCTTTTTGTCGAAACTGGAAAAATTCCCTGAAACCCTCCTGTCAAACCTAATTTTGCAATTGGATTCTGATTCTCTGAATGGTGGGCATTGGGAAGGTTTAGTTCCCTTTTTGGGTCAAATTGTGCGTTTAGGCCTGAGCCATTACAAATTAACAAATTAAACGGGACGTTTCATCTCAATTGAAGACACTCCAAAAGAATGAGGCACGGAGGGACTCAAAAATGGGTACGAGTGATGCAGAATTTTTGTTGGGTGTTCCCTAATGCATAACGTGGCTAACAGGACCATTCCCCGATGCCTCGTGTATCCAACTAAGTCGTCCCTGCAAATCCTAACATAACTTCTTCTGAGTTCTATATATGGCTTTGAATGGGACTATTGCTCTCATCTCATGCCCTATGTATACAACAATGTTCCCCCTACAAGTCCCAACTTCAATTGAACTAGCATCAGTTTGTTCATGAATGCTCTTAGTTGCAGGATCTAGGTATAATTATTACAAGATCTAGCTCTCCAAAATTGGACCTTGGATTCATTTTCATATCCACGATATTTATTTTTTATTTTTTGGGTGAAATAATAGTGATTTATAAATTTAGTTTTATAAGTTCAAAGTGGTTAGAAATAAACTATATAAACAATACAAGAAGTTAATGTCGTGCAAAACAAATCTTAAAAGACGTCTCTATAATTTTTAAAAAGAGGAAGAACGCTGTACATAACAGTCAATTACTTTATAAGTGTCTCTATAATCGTCCCAATAACTACACGATATATATGCATTATTCAAGCAGGAATTGTTATATGTATAACGAAAAGAATGGCAATGGTATACATAACATGACTCGTGTAGCATCAAATGGATATGCACTTTTAATCTTTGTGAGTACAAGTCATGGAAGTTAAATGATAATAAATCTTATGGTCTCCAAATTTGACATAATAGTAATGATGATTCAAAATACTTCAATTGTAATTAAAAAAATTATATAAAAATTTAAAATTGTTTACTTTTCTCTCGTAAATTTTTGCAAGATATTGTTTCCCTCAAAAGTTCCTCAATACTATTTTCGATATGATAGCTAAAAGTTTTTGCAAAATATTTTCACAGTGAATTTTTGGTCGTTGCATCTTGAGTTTTGCAACAGAATCTTGCGATGAATTTTGGAGCGCTTGCCTAAATTTGGAGTCTCTTGCAAGTGTCTCACTTTTCAAAAGCTTAAGTCGACCCGATGTCTAGGATGTTTAGGCCCTTTCTCCTTGTAATGTTCAAAATACTCTTGTAGAAGTTCTCTTAAATATTGCCAAACACCATAAGTTAGCCACGTTTCTGGGAAAATGCTTTAGGAACAAACCACTAAAGTATTCTAAAATTTTAATGGTATAATATGGCAACTGTGGTTGCGAGAACTGTGTTTGAGCATTTTCCTTTAAGATCGTCGAGAAAACTTTACATATAATGTAATCTTAAAAATGAGCATGGTACTTTCTAACCATATCACATGATAACAGGACTTCGTAATCTAATCATAATTTGAAGGCGTGGTAGCTTGAATTCAATTAGGAGTGGTTGCTCTAAGACCTCAAGGCATTCAGTTGAGTTATTTAGAGATATCAAACTATATGAATGAATCCTAACCCACTAGGAAAGCATGGAAAAAGCACGAATCAGTAATAAATCCGTAACCAGAATGGACTTATATGCAGGCTATCCTCTAGACTCTAGTCATAGTAAAGTCAATTCAGTCATAAGGTAAAGCCAATGGTTAACAGGTAGTTCTGAATCATTTTGATTAAACACATTTTTTTTCAAGTAATTTTCACTTTAAAGTTATGAAGACCAACAATATTTTCTAACATTTTTAGTAGTAATAGAAGTGTTGTATTTTTTTTTAATAAAAGTGGGGCGTTCTAAGTTGAGTTTGGTTTAAAAGTGATGCCCCTATTATGATCTCTCCCGAACGAGCCCAAAAACCCGAACCATTTTTATCCAACAACTCGTGTACCATATCCAAGATCCATAGCCCAAAGTTAAAAACCCTAATCTCGGCACCATATATATACTGCGCAAAGGGAAATAGGGTATCGCCTTCTCTGTCTCTCTCTTCAGCATCGCAAATCGGAACCCTAATCCAAAACACACAGACCAATTCGCAATGGCGGAACAGCTAGTTCTACGGGGCACAATGAGGGCTCACACCGACTGGGTGACAGCCATTGCCACTCCGATTGACAATCCTGATATGATCGTGTCATCGTCACGTGATAAGTCCATCATCGTGTGGACTCTAACCAAGGAGGACCGGAATTATGGCGTCGCCCGCCGCCGCCTCACCGGCCACTCACACTTCGTACAGGATGTGGTCCTATCATCCGATGGGATGTTCGCTTTGTCCGGTTCGTGGGACGGCGAGCTCCGCCTCTGGGACCTCCAGACCGGAGCCACCACTCGCCGATTCGTTGGACACACCAAGGATGTTCTGTCGGTTGCCTTCTCAATTGATAACCGTCAGATCGTGTCGGCTTCTCGTGACAAGACGATCAAGCTATGGAATACCCTCGGAGAGTGCAAGTACACGATTCAGGACCAGGATGGCCATTCCGACTGGGTTTCTTGCGTCCGGTTCTCCCCCAATACTCAACCTACTATTGTGTCCGGGTCGTGGGACCGCACCGTGAAAATCTGGAATCTCACAAACTGCAAGCTGAAGGCCACTTTGACTGGGCATTCAGCCAACGTGAACACTGTAGCCGTGTCCCCTGATGGGTCCTTGTGCGCGAGTGGTGGAAAAGATAGTGTGATTTTACTGTGGGATTTGTCTGAGGGGAAGAGGCTGTACTCATTGGATGCAAGTTCAGTTATTCATTCACTTTGCTTCAGCCCTAACAGGTACTGGCTCTGTGCAGCTACTGAGTCCGGCATCAAGGTTTGGGACCTGGAGAGCAAGAGTGTGGTCATGGATCTCAAGGTGGATTTGAAGCAGGAGAGTGAGATGGCTTCTGAAGACACTACACATGCCACTAAAAACAAGGTATACTTGATATTTATGCTTATTAGAATCTGTTTGTTGATTTTATTTTTGTTAGAATTGTTTTTCTAATTGTTATTATGATTCTATTGGGCATTTATTGCTTGAGGATTTTTTCTAAATTGTGACAATTGTCTACTTATAAATGCAAAAGTCAAAAACCTTCTTTTAATATTAGTATCAATACCTTCTGTACAGGTTAATAGCTGATTTGTCCTTGTTAAAAATAGCCGCCTTTTGTTTTCGGGGTAGAGTGACAATCAACTAAAATATTTGTTTAACTAATTCTTTCTCAACCATTTTGTCAACCAACTCAAGACTGCAACTTTATTAAAAAACAGTAGGAGAGGGTGTCAAGACCAGTTTTTTTGGATTCGGTTGAACCTCTTCTCCATCAGAATTATAGTTAGCATCATCATAATTAGTTGATGTTGCATGAATTCATTCTTTTAGACTTGAAATTTTTCAAAGTTGAAGATTAAGATTTTTCTATATACTGAGGCAACTTAAAAGAATTATACATTCTGGTCATTTTTCATTTTCTTGGTACCTGAAGAAATTTCCTCTATTTGCATCTAAGAATTTAAACGTAATGATTGTGTTCATATGCAATTTGTGCTTACTTTCATATTATAACCTGGTTAAAGATGACATCTTGTATTTTTAAGTGCTTATGACTATGATTTGGTAAGTGTAATTCTTCTGGGCTGTGCATGTACTTAGACTTCTATATCTTTTCAGGTGATACTTGATTAGTTTTTCGTGGTTTTGTTGGAATTTATAGATGTTATGCAATATTATCATGTCGCAGATTTGTTTAAATTCTGCACTGTATGCATGTTTATATGTTCCATAATTCCATCTCAGATAGATCTTTTGATCAACTGATTGATTATCTGATCCTGTACATCTCCTGCACTTTTGAATCTGATGTAGGAGTTGGCTCTTTAATGAATACAAAACAGCAACCGAACATTTTTCTAACTTTTCATTCAAAACATTCTTAACATGTCATTGTGATTTTGGATTGAATTTGTTAGTTATATTCACCTTTTACGCTTTTGTTGCTCTTACATTAATAATATAGTCCCCTAACCTGATTTTAAGGTGCTTTTTGATCAACATTAATGTTTCAACTTGTGAACTCCAGATCATATACTGCACCAGTCTCAGCTGGAGTGCCGATGGAAGCACCCTTTTTAGCGGTTACACTGATGGTGTCATTAGAGTTTGGGGTATTGGACGCTACTAGGCCGAGCAGTCGAAGTTTCTTTTATTTACAGTTAATGTTAGATTCAAGTTCAAAATGCTTGGAAAGATATTTGGATTCTATGTTTTAATTCGTTTTGAGGCTCCTGTTTCAATTTTGGATTAAGTACATGTTTTGCTGAGTTCTAATCCAGATTTTCAATTTTCCATATCCCCTGCTTGTATATTCTCTATATCTCATTCTTAATTCCTCATTAATGGCTAGTGGTGTATAATGTGATCCGAGTTACTGCTTGGCGTTACTCATCCTATGCCTTGAAATAATTTCATTGGAGTCTCGAAAGTGCAAAAAAAAAAAAAAATTGTTGAGATATTAATATGTTCATTGTTGTCCATATTCTACCCCAAGTTTATGGTAACATATCACCGTATGTGAGATTGGACTAGACATTGCTTCACTATTTTAATGCATGTTTGGTTCCCAAATTTTGATTCATCCCTTCATTTTTCGATTAAATTATTAGGCGTAGATTCTTTAAAATTCGCTTTTTCTAAAATTTATTTTTAACTAAACGTTTACTGAATAAAATAATTTTACACGCTGATCAATAATTTTTTCTACTTCTCAATCAAATATTAAAAAAAATCATTTTTCATAAATTCTACTAAAAAAATTACACCAAACAAGCACATAATCTTGCCCCTTTATGATTTTGATAAAAAAAAAAAGATTTTTCGGAGATTTTAATAAAAATTGATAAAATATATGATTGAAGATTTGATAAAAAATTTGGATCATATGAAATACATGATTGAAATGAATTTTAAAAAATGAAGGTCAAATCAATGCATTGACACTAGAAAATAATGAGGTATTTTTTAAAGAGTAATTATATTACCACTACGAATTTTATTAAGTGCATCACAATTTTTAGTATTTTTTTATTTACTTAAATAACTTTGAATAAAATTACATAATTAAAATTTAATATACTTTTTAATAAAATAAATTATTGTTCCACCACAAACATAAACCTACATTTTTCTTTCTTTTTCCTCAACATCTGATTGTTCATGGTTTTTTCGTCGAGAACAACTTTTGCTTTCTTCCGTGACGACAAGATTAATTAAACCTGCAAAGTGCAACATTGGAGAAATTAAATTAAAATCTAGATCATATAAAGTGGAAAAATATACACGAGCCAAAAACAACTAAAAATTGTTCAAGAACTTCAGCTGACCAATTTCTTATTACGTGCTTCCTCATTCCATCCATTAAATCAAACCTCAGTAACTTTATATTTGTCAGCCAGTAAATAGCAGTAAGGCTATGTTTGATAGCATAGATTTTTCATGAAAAATGGAACTCATTTTTCATTTTTCATCTTTTGTCTTGTTTGATAGGCAAAATTTTTCCTAAAATTAATTTTTTTACTTTACCTCACATGCTTACAATTTCTTTGATTTTGTGGAAAACAATTTCCCACCATTTTGGTGGGAATTGGTTTTCTAATTTTTTTTTTTTTAACTAGAAAAAATTCTGGACACAATAATAAAAAAAAATTCACTTTTATTGACAATTTTCATACAAAACAAAGTCAAACGACTTGTATTCAGTATGGTAATTTTTTTTTTTTTGCGATTGGAACAAATTCTAGACCCAATAGTAGGAAAAATTATCATTTTAATGGACAATTTCCATAAAAAAAGAAGTGAAACGGACACTAAACTTTTAACATTTTTCAAGTGACAAATTATACCAATCAAACACAATTAATTACAATTTCCAATAAAATAATTTTTAGACAATTCAATTTCCTATAAAATATTTTCTTTACATTCATTTTTCACATTTACAATCAAACGAACCCTAACTTTTTTAAAATATTCTTTTTTAAGTGTTACAAACCTAATTACACAGATTGGGGTTACGCACTAGATCTGTACATGTAGGGTAAATGTGTCGTTGGCATGCCCAATAGGGTCAATAGGGAGGTGCCACATGGCATCCACGACCTAATTTTTTATTAAACGTTTTTTTAACTGTCAGTGAATACTTGTTTGTATTTGTGTATAAAAATAGTCTGTTTATTGCCTACTACGCCCCCGTCACATGAGGGGGTGCCCACAATTATTTTAATCATCGTGAACCTCCCCTCGGGAGTGTACACACATTTGCATTTTTCCAAAAAAAAGTTGGATTTAACTACTTGCACATACACCCTTTGTCAAAAATTTGACAATTGAAAATGTATTATCAATTAATTGAAAAATGCATACCATGTATTATCAAGATCCATGTATGAAAATTTGTTGTGAACCAAATGTGCCAATATTAGAAAATGTTAAGTGTACATAATAAATGTACACAATGATTGACATAATGTGATGTGGCACCTATCCTGTCGTTGATATGTAAATGTCATATTTGAATTAAATTTTCGAATGACTGCCACATGTAATTATGTAAAATATTATGCAAAAAGTTATGTACTTGTAGCCTCACTCTCAATCTATATGTACACGAATAAAGCTTCTTGTATATTAATTAATTGACATGGAGTTTGACACTCCATGTATTTTCAAATATAAATAGGCGGAAAATTGTATTTTATTTTAAAAATGTTCACTCATGTCATAACACGTGGTACAATGTAAAACTTGATGTCAAATGAGTGTACATGTATCATTGTTGATATTTACACGTGGTCCCACGAAATTTACCGGACTGTCAGCCAAGCTGTTGGAATTTCGAAGTACCTTTACCTTCCTTCTTTCTTCTCCAAGGCATAAACCCTCTCGCAAGTGTCACTCTTAGTGCGTGTTTGTGTGTTTTCGTTGGAGGAAGAAGGGAGAGAGGGGCCAGGCCACAATTGGGGGTCGTATATTCAACATAACGCCTGAAGAAAAGGATAAAATAAAGAGACTGAATGTGGTTCGTTCTTCTTCTTCTTCTCTATTTTATTCTTATTTTTTATTTAAAAAAAAAAAAATTGGTTCCGATATACTGCGATAATGAAGTGCTTGTATTGTACAATTTTTGGGGATCCGTTTTTAATATTTATTTATACGGGATTTGAAGATAGGATTTTTTGAAGATAAATGTTTGTTGGTGCCATATTTCACGTTTCCTCATCCGAGTTCTTTATTTTTTCAATGACCTGAATTGGGTTTTTGCTGAAAGTACTTATTTTGTATTCAATTTTGCGTTTCCTTTTATTGGTCTATTTGTTATTGTATTCTTTTGATAGAAAAATATTTTATTGGTGTTTTGATATTTTTTGGTCATTTTTGTGTGTGTGAACAGGCAGTTTTGGAGGAGGCACAAGAAGAAAGTGTATGTTACACTTGGAGTTTTAGGAAGTGGGTACTTCTTGTACAAACTCTATGATACTCACAGGCGTAGACTATCTGATCTTGAGAAACATCTCGCCGATGAAAAGGGACATATTGAAATTATTAAAGCCCAGTTAAGCATCAAAAGATTTCCAGTTCTCCTTTATGTTGCTATGACTAACGCAACTTTATGCTCGTATTTTTGTGACTCTTTTCTTTGGTCTGAATTGATAGAATGAAAGCGCATTTTGAGAGCATTCAGAGAATAGCTGATTCAACGACATTTCCTCATGTAATGCAACACTTAGATAGTCTAGTGGCTGAGAATTTGGACCTTACACACTTTACAGAGAGATTAGTTCAAGGAAAGGGTCAGCCGAACACTCTAACTACTGCAGAGAAACTTGAGTTATGGGACAGACTCAAAATTCTAAGTAGGGATTTCCTTTCTTGTTTCATTTACAATGCCTAAGTCTTTGTAATATAATAGAACAGCAACCCTATTTTTTTTTTTTACATGTTCCAGGTTTTATAAAAATGGCGTTATCTCTTTGGGCAATGACAATGCTGAGCCTCTATGTTAGGGTTCAAGTAAACATATTGGGGAGACATCTGTATATCGACACAGCACGTGATCTTGGAAGTTCTCATCTGCTTGTAAGAATTATGCTTACTGTTCTTTTCTTATTACAGATTAACAGTTGTGTCATGCATTATGTATCCATTTTTAAGACAAGGTGATGATAGTTACGCATAGTTCTTTTTATGTGTCGTTTTTAATGCTATGAGTCTAACGTGTTAGGAGCAATATTTAGTTTGTTGTTGTCTTGAGTATTCCTAGTCTAGCCAATAGACAGTTGAATGCTTTATTAAAATGTGATTACACTGTGTTGCTAACAAATTGAAAAAAAATCATGCTTTATCGCATGCATTTTACGTCACAAATATGTTATGAAGTTGCTGAAGATCTAATTGGCCTGAATCTCTTTTGCATAGGTTATGTAACAGAAGTTGGGAACAACTTTTACAAGGATATCATGATTTCTTTGAGCTAGCACGGTAGTTTATAAAATCAACCATATGCCATCTCATGCACATAACAGTCTTTCCTCTTATGTTTCTTTTCTGTATGTATGATATAATCATAAAATATATGTGCAAATAACTGAATTTATAACTTCTCCGCAACTTTAACCAATTGGATTCCTTGCATTTCTTCACAAGGACCCCACAAGATCAATTAAAATAAGAAAATTATCTTAAATAATATGGGCTGATTTATTCTTTTTCCTTTTCTTTTATCTGTGGGTCAAAAACAAGAGTACAATTTCCAAAATATGAACTTCAAAAATGGTTTTGGACACGATTCTTTGATAACTGAAAAAGTCGTATGCTTTGTGATGCATATTTTTATTTTGGACAACAATTCTTTGTCTTTGTTATCTTATTATTTTGGTGTGATATGAAGTATTTCATTGGGAAGACTCGTCACTCGTGAAAGAAAGTGGGCACATTTGCCTTCTGAGAAAGAACAAGAGTTTTCTCTCTTTAGGAGTCCAGGACTCCTATTAAATCACATAACTCTGTTTGACTCTTTGGAAAATTATAATTTTGTAGACTTCTTGGATTTCATCTGTAGACCATGAAGAAGCCCCTTGTTTGTATTTGCTAGGCAAGACATGATATTGAAATGAGATACTGAAAATT